CAAATGCGCTTTACACAATTGATGTGTGTATGGATTGGGATAACAGTTGTATGAGCCCCTAATAAAATGTAAAAACAAAACAAAAGACAAAGCAAAATATTATAATGAAATGTGCAGGGACCTACAGTGAGAAAACCTGAAAGGAAGAACAGGCTCAGCATGTCTTCAAATGAAAGAACTCAAGAAGTTATTCAAGCCTCGAGTTGCAATACTGAAAGATTCTATGGCAAAATACTGAATGATGCAGGAAGCATCAAAAGATGGAACGAATAGATAGAGTCACTTTGTCAAAAAGAACTGCTGGTCATTCAACCATTTTAGGTGGTAACATATGATCAAGAACCAATGGTGCTGAAGGAAGTGGTCCAAGCTGAGAGCATTAGCGAAAAAGAAGGCTCCAAGAACTGATGGCTATTAAGTGAAATGTTTCTACAAGCTGATGAAGCAATCACTCGTCTATGCCAGGTAAATTGGAAGACATCTATTTGGCCAACGGACTGGAAGAGACCCATATCTGCACCCATTCCACAGAACGATGACCCAACAGAATGGGAAAATTAATAGAACAATGTCACTGATAGAACCAATGGTATCACTGATGTCAGATGGATCTTGGTTTAAAGGTGAGAATATCAGAAAGATGTCTCCTTGCGTTTCACTGGCTATGCAAAGACAGGCGACCACGCGGATCACACAAACTATGGATAGTCTGGAGAAAAATGGGAATTCTGCAATACCTAATGGGGAATCTGTAATTGGATCAAAGGGCAGTTATGCAAACAGAACACAGGAATGCTATTGTATGGCTTAAAATCAGGAAAGGCATGTGTCTGGGTTTTATCAATCTTTCTGCTGAACAAATAATCAGAGACTTTGAATTATATGAAGAATTCGGTATCAGGATTGGAGGCAAGCTTATTAACAAAATGTGAAAAGTGAGGTCTTGAGGCACTTGTTGAGGAAGATGAAGGACTGCAGCCTTCAGCACAGATTACAACTCAATGAAAAGAAAACCATGATCCTCACAACTGGACTAAGAAGTAACAGCATGATTCAGGGAGAAAAGACTACTGACTGAAGCTGTCAAGGACTTTTGTCTTGCTTGCAACCACAATCAATGACCATGGAAGCAGCAGTCAAGAGATCGAGGGACACATTATGTTAGGTAAATCGGCTGCCTCACACCTCTTTAAAGTGCTGAAAAGCAAGGATGATACTTAGAACACTAGCCATGATATTCTCAGTAGACTCATCTGCATGGGAAAGCTGGACATTGAATAAGGAAGAACAAAGAAGAATTGATGCATTTTAACTATGGCGCTGGTGAAGAATATTGGAAGTACCATGAACTGCAGATCTGTTTAGAAAAAGTACAGCCAGAATGGTCCTTGGAGGCAAGGATGAGGAGAACTCACCATGTACTTTGTACATTATCAGGAGAGGCCAGTTCCCGGAGAAGGGCATCATGCTGCGTAACGTCGGAGGTGGGGGTGTGGGTGGGGGGTGATGAAAAATAAGGCCCTTGATGAGATGGATTGACACAGTGGGGCAACCACAGGCTCAAACAAAAACAATTCTGAGGACAGCGCAGGACTAAGCAGTACTTTTTCCTTTTGTAGACTGGCTTGTTATGAGTAGGAACCTGCTTGACACTGCCTTATAACACAAGCTTTATTAAATTATTGAGTATGATTACCTAATTCAGACAACAGGCAATTTACCTAATGACACAGATAGCTGAGGCAATGACAGTTTTTTTTTATTCGGTTTTGTTCCCACTTTTGGATTTTGCTTCTTTTTTCTTTTTTGGAAAAAAGAGGACTACATATAAGGAAGTTATTCTAAGAATGGCAATGCAGAATAAAATAAATTGGAAGTATTTATAGTGTATGCTTTATTCTAAGCACTTTATATATATATATTAACTCATTGGGGTGTCTTACAATATTCCTATGAAGTGGGGGCTGTTAATACTACTTGAAGGGCTATTTTAAACAGCTTATAAACCTTAAGGCACAGCATTATCCATGCCCAATATATAATAAACAGCAGACAAAGCCTTGTGGACCTCAGCACTCTAGACACATATATTATCTTTTATGCATAATTTATCCTCCAAACACAATTCAACTACTTGTTTTAGTAAGGAATAATAAAATGTTCTTTAAAAAGAAGAAGAAAGAAATATACCAGAGTTACACCACAAAAGGTAGAGAGCTCACTTATACAGGAACAAAATAAACAAAACTGAAAAGCAAAACAACAACAAAAAAAACTTAAAAGGCCTGATGCCACTGATGAAATTTCCATACAGGTAATCAATTCAGTAGCTCGGTGGCTTCAAAATGTGAAAGCATGTCTTCCACTGAAGCCAGATGTAAGGTGCTTATTTTGACAGTACGTCAAACTGTCCACAGGTGATGGACAATATAGTTATCAGTCTTCATTCAATAGCTCCTCCACGTCAAAAGGCTGCACAAAACGCACTGCAAAACCTAAGTTTACTTGGATCGCAACTGCTGCCCCAATCCAAAACCACTCTACATTAGAACTAAAGAGCTTCTTTTAAGAGAAGTTAAAACAATGAGAAACTGGCTTGAAGTGGTTCCCATGAACCTGCTCATTCTAATTTCAAATGCAGGACAGCAGCCAGGGGTACTTCCTCTGGGTACACATGTCTGGGTGGGAGGAGGTGTTCCACTGTTCAGGACAGAGCAGTGTGGAAGGCACACCTTCCGGTAGCAGTGGTTCTCAACCTTCTTAATACAGGTCCTCATGTGGTGGTGAGCCCCAACCATAAAATTATTTTTGTTGCTACTTCATAATTGTAATTTTGCTACTGTTATGAATCAGGTGACCCCTGTAAAAGGGTCATTCAACCCCCAAAGGGGTTTCGACCAACAGGTTGAGAACCACGGGGAGAAAGCCACTGTCCTTAAATTGCCCCCGCATCTCACAGCAATGGTGTTTTCTTCTCGCATAAAAGTACAAGAATGATTGGAATTCCAACTTTGTAAATAATTCAGTTTAATGTTTGTTTACTAAAAATGCCCTGATTGGAGTTTAGACAAAAGAGAAGGCTTTGCATTTGAAATTAGAATGAGCAGGATTGTACACATTGTGTTCATGGGAACCATTTAAAGCCAGCTTCTCATTGTATTAACTTCCCAGGCTCCAGCCCCAGGAAATGCACTCAGTTTGTCAGCATCAAGCTGCCAGGTTTACAAGATGTCTGTGAACAATGCATGATTATGTTATTGTAGGTTCTATGTTATTTAATATGATTTTGGTAGGTTCTCTTTTGGGACTAGGAAGGTTCCAAAATTTTTCTCCAATAAACTAACGGGAATTATACCTTCAATTCACACCATTTTGTCTTATAGGATTGGTCAACCTTCAGATAATGGGGAAAAACAGTAACTCTAAAACTTGTTCCCACTTTTCGTACTCTCAATTTTGGTGAAAGACATGGCAATTCCAAGAGTATCCCAAGCTGGAAACCTGCACAAGAAACTATACCTTAGTTCAGGTGTTCACCTATTGCACTGACTATGGCAACAGTCTTGGTCATGAGTAAAATAGTATCCCCTGAATAATCCACCTAGAATTGTAGCGTGTGATCTTCCTTAGGAAAAAGTCACTGAAGATGTAATAAAGGTTAGGATCTAGAAATGATGTCATCCTGGATTAGGGTAGGTCCTAAATCCATTGATGAATGTCCTCATATGAGAGACAGGAAGGCAGTGACAGAGAGCAGGGAGAAGGTTGTGTTAAGAAAGGGCAGAAATTAATGTGTATTAGAGTTTAAATTCTAAGCATTTGATTTGGGGAAGACTACTTTTTCTGGGGACTCTATTCCATTTTGAGATTTAACATCAATTCTTCCTCCATTGAGTTCTTCCTGACCAGAATGTAAAAAGATTTGCCTCACGCAGAATGTGTTTGAAAGTGGATTAATAAAACTCCCCCAGGCAACACACAGAGGTGTTTTACCTCTGGAATTATATTCTGGGAATTGAATCATGGGGGGGCCACCCAAGCCACCTGGTATAAAATAGTCCACAAAGATGAAGTTCGAAACTCTTCTTTGGTGAGTAGTGACTGGAGTCTCAAACGCTCATGAGAGGCCATCCGTGGTACAACTATTGGCCTCTCGTTATTGGAAGGAAAGAAGAATGAAGGAAACTGGAAACAATTAATCCAATGAACTAATGGAGCAAGCAAACATCAACCTCCACCAAGACCAGAACTAGTTAGTGTTCCGTTACCACCACCAACTAACTGCTCTGCACAGGATCACAGTAAAAGGGCTGAGTAAAGTGGGAGAAAAATGTAGACCAAAATTATAAATCATAAGAACAGAACCCCAAGTTTATAGTTCATAGAGCCCAGAGGAACCCCCTTGGCATTGTCCTTAGTCACACTTGAGTCTTGAACTGAACCCAGTCTCATGACTCAGTTTTCATCCCAACAACAGGCTGGTCTCTAAGGGAACAATAACACCAGGATGGTATGCACTTCTTAGAATTATCAACAATTTGAGATGAAAGAAAGGCAGCATTTATCCAAAGACAAAGTTCAGACGTGTTTGGAGAAACAGGAAGCACAGTGTCAGAGCGGGGTAAATGATGTTTCATGGGGGGGATGGCGATCGACGACATGAAACAGAGGCTCTGTGTCTCTCAGGCTTTCAGTCTCCAAATGATAAAATAAGAGGAACTCAGGCAGGAGCCCAGCCTTATTGCTAAAGAACTTACCAAAACCTATGTGGTTCCTGAGTTCTAACACTGGCTACTTTCTGACCAGTGAATCATTATGTAACTGAGGAGCTCAGGGTCTTAAAAAATTAGGCTGTGGGCATATAGGAAAATTCCACAAACTTAAAAATAATACTCTATATTATGCTTTCTCATCCTAAATAAAACTCATTAGTCTAACAGCTAAGCTTCTGATGTACTTAATTTGATATAAAAAGCCTTACCTGTTTGGCTTTTGAGTTCTTCTCACTTGTATTTCCATCCATTCCTCTAAGAACGCTGATGAAATCTTTCTTAGAGACAGTTGATATCAACTTGGCACGCTTTCTAATAGAGCCTCCAGCTTCTTTCACTTTTTCATCAACATTCTTTTGATGCTTCTGAACAGCATTAAATAATTGCACCACACCCCTGTGAAATAGGAAATAACCAAAACAATGCAGTTATGTAACAATCCCACTAGAATGTACACTCTATTAGACCTTGAACTACGTATTTTCACTGTCTAGAAGAGAGAAAAACACTATAGTATGTACTCAAATGATAAAATGAATAGCTAAATACATGTGCGTGGACATGCATTTCAATGAATGAAAATACATTTCAAATGGAGAGGACAAACAAGGGTGGAATGGTACATTACTTTTTTCTGTCTTGGTCTTTCTAAACCAACTTCTGTGTAATTTGAACTGAAAATTGCTTTTAAAACAATTATTTATTTCTCAAAATATACTTCTGTAATAGTTGAATAATTAAATGGCGTTACCTCCAAAATTACGTATGTCTTAATAGGCATACCTATTAAGGAATATCACTTTGTTTGGAAATAAAGTCAGTCTTTCTGCATGATGCCACCTAACAAGATTGCACCAAGGTAGGGCAGTTCCTATCACCACCTGAAAAGTGGTGTAAAAAAGAGGAAAACAAGTACAGAGAGCTGAACACAACAGACCCAAGGATAAGACGCCATGTGAAGATTCATCTACAAGCCAAGAAACATCAACATCACCCAGTCACAAAAGCTAGGAGAGAAGTATGGCCTGCTTTCTGTTCTTTCGGGTATTTTATGACTGTAGCCTAGACACGATGCACTGAAAAGAGCTGTCCCAACAGTAGCCACTGGTCTCCAGACTGGTGAGAACATGAAGCATGGTTAGTCAAAATTGGATGTACTTTACACATCAAAGACTTGGAATAAAACAAAAGGGAATTAAAAATATCTAATTCTTTTATACAGATTACACCTTGAAATGTTGCTATTTTGAACACATTGGGCTAAGGAAAATGTATTATTGGAATTAATTTTGCTTAATGTGGGTACTAAAAGACCTTAAATTAATATTGTGTTGCTCTGATATCTGACATTAGGAGGGACCCCAATGACCTAATCATGATTTCCTCTACTCCCAATTGTGCTCATGGATAATTTCTCCCAGCCCAATCCTTCTCTTTAGGAAGGCAGTGTGGTTGGCCTGCCCTGAGGAGCAGCAGGCTTCAGCTCCCTGTCAGCTCAAGGAAAGATTCAAACAACCGAATCACATCCTCCCACAAGCAGTGGACGTGTCTGACTTCAACAAAGCCTATGGGCACACAGTGCCTGCTGCCTCTGTTCCTGAGAGTTGATCTGAGTGGCCCTGCATAAGGAGGTGACTTCCTCCCGTGTGCTCTGAGTTCATGTGACCAATAAACGGGAGATATCGTTTGCTCAGCATCAGATACCATTGGGGCCAGCCATCCTCATAATACTAGGGCAAAAATCCTTCCCTCACCAGTGGGGTCCAAGGTGAATAGGAGGTGAGCAGTTCAATTACATATGTTGCTCATAATCTATTTCTACTCAAATTCACTGTTGTTGACTTGATGCCGACTCATAGTGACCATGAGTTCCTGAGACTGTCCCTCTTTACATGAGTAGAAAGGCTCTGGCTTGAAATAGCTAGTCACTGCGGACTGCTGCTCTTGAAGTTGGCAGACTAACCCAGAGCCATGACGCTACCAGGGTTCCCATCTATCTCCTAGACAATTCTTTAGACCATGATGATCTCCTCTAGTTTTAAAATGTACAATCTGTGAGTTGTCTTCATAACTGCTGGGTCTGACAGTCTACCTGGGCCTCTGAGCACTCCTGCATAGCCTACTGGGTTTCGGAAGGCTGGAAGACTCTCATCCGGATCATTTTCCAATGAGCAGCCTTGAGGGATAAAATAACAATGCTTGAGACACAGCAATCGTTTTCCAAGCAGAGTGCCCCTCTCCTATCATATAAGCCACCAAATGCATGGGGATCCATGTAGGAAGCCTGCAGGGCTCCCTGGGACATGAAAGTCTGCCATGGCTTTGGCCATGAGTGATAGTCCTTCTGCCAACAACCAAGAAGCATTCACAAGTGGTACCACCGAGTCAGAATCACCTCCACTGCAGTGAGTTTGGTTGTTTAAGGAGAAAACAAACAAGCCAAACTCACTGCCATCAAGTCAGTGCTGAATCATTATCGACCCCTGTGGGTTTGCAAGACCTACTGCGGAAGTAGAGAGCACAGTCTTTCTTCCGAGGAGCTGCTGGTGGTTTCGCACGTCTGATCGTGTGGATTGCAGCCCAACTCGTAACCACGGCACCACCAAGGTTCCTACTTAGGGAAAGATGGTAAAATTCCAGACCTTTCAAAACATGGCCAGGACAAGAGTGTGACAAGGAAGTATGCATAAGGCACAATATTTTAAAAGATGCCTCACTCTCAGGTTTGTGCAAGCACTGACCCTGTACTTTTCTATGTGCTTTTTATGTATTTGTTTAGTTCTAAAAGAAACCCTATAGGCTAATGTATTATTTTCCTTTTATAGATAAGTAAACTGAGGTAGAAAGAAATTAAGTATCATGACAAAAGGCATGCACTTAAAAAAAGTCAGTATTGGGATTTGAACCTAGCAACTATATCCACATATTCTTACAGACCACACCTCAATTTCATAGTACAACATCTCAAGTGGATTTAAAAAATGGCCCAAACAAAGCATCAGATAACTAAGAATTCAAAACCAATTCCACTAAATATAATTGCTACCTTCTTTCTGTAGCAGCCTAGATATTATCTAGAAGGTTTCCAAGTAGTAAGACAATCTCCTGTCCTATGACCCCAACACATGAGCTATGCCTCTATCCTAGGAGGGGTGGCAAGTGATAACTTGCATATATACAGATGAGGGGGCAGAGACCACCCAGCAGCCAGCTTATCATATTTATCTTTGGACACAGTGAACATCAAATGATTATTTGTTGCTGATGATAAAAAAAAATGCAGAGGGAAAGAAAGCCTAAGACTGTTGCAATGCTCACATTACGTGTGATATCATGGGCTAACAAAACATCTAGTACCATAAATTTAGACAGCCATCACAGCAGAGGTCTGAATACGCTGTTCTTGTGGCTATAAAAACAAGATGATCTGAAATAGGGTCATGAGGAATATTCACTTAGCACAATTATACACACACCCCAGACCGGTAAAACCTTTGGTTGACTCCACTATCAACTAGGCAGGCTTAAGAATCAAATCTGAGGCCTGTCTGGATACGACAGGCTGGATGAACAATCTGGAGGAGAAAACAACGGGACTGACAGTTCCGGGGGGACATGGGAGAGGGGGAGGAGGGGGGAAGGGAAGAAGAGGGGAT